CAGTAAACCCAAAGGCTTTTAATCTTAATCCTGCTATAAATTCTTCAATCATTTCAACAGTACTGCTAACTGACATCAATATAGAGATAAGAGTCCAGACACTTATAAAAAAGATTGTTAACACATTGCCTATTATTTAATCACAATTTCCACATGAATATTTAGAACTTACTGAATATGAACCTTAACCAATTATATTATATAAATCACATTATTCACATAATGCACCTATATGTCCTAATATACATGATTAATCACCTGGTTTCCATCCTCCTTAACAATTTTATATTAAATGATAACAATATTCTATTGTTTAAGAATAATAATATGCTCTCCAATAACCAGATCTTAATTCAATCATAGAAGATTCTATAGATTTCATAGTTTAATCATCTTTATAATTACAATTTTATGCACTCCATTTTACTTAATATTAATTTTATATTGTATCACATAATATACAACCACCTGTTGTTTCATTTTAATATTCACCTAATTAACATTTTAATGTTTTTATATCAATTAATAATTTATAATTTGTAATTGTATTATTAATAGAATAAGGAGGAATAGATTCATATTAAGGTATTGAGATGATATTACAGAATATTGATAATTACATAATAACTTCTGCCTCATAAGTAGGATTAAAATAGATAATTAGATCATCTAAATTAAAGTCACCAGAAGTTTGGTTAAATTTTACAGTTGTATATGATAAACTTCCAACTAATCCTGAGAGGATTTCTTGACTAGTATAATTCATAATGGTTGGAGTAATAGTGCAAGAAGATCCTTCTAATTTCTTTTCTTAAGTGTTATATTTGTTAAGGGCTATGATTCTAAATGTAAGATTGTAGGGAATATACTGAGATGTGTATTGATCAAAATATTTATATGATCCTATGGCTCTTCCAGATGGAAACATAATAAAATTAACTTTTTAAGAATAGCCTAAAATCTTATAAGGTGTAATGACAATTTATTCAACTAAAGATGTTGAAGTTTTGGATATCAGTTTTTTTGTTAGAAATGTTTTTCCTCCATCTACAGACATTGTTAAAGATCTAGGATTTTCTAAAACATCAGAACCAAAAAGTGTTGAATTATTATTTGATAAATAAACATCAAGTTAAGTTGTAGTTTGTAATGATTAAGAATTTAAGTATAATCCCCCAGCAATTTTAGCTTTATTCTCAAGTATTTAAGAATCAAAAATATATAATTGGGCCTACTTTGAAAAATAATAAATAGCACCTCCTATACTAGCTGTATTATTTCTAAAATAACAGGCATGCAATATAGATGTTATTTCAACTATAAAGATTGATCCTCCATAAATAGCATTATTATTAATAAATCTAGAATTAATTATTTTTGCTTAGTAATTTAAATTGTAAGTTAAATTATAGTAATCGTGTTATTAAAGTACTCTTTAATTAGTAGGAGATGATAATAAATCACTTCTTAATATTGCATTACTTTCATATTGAAGTAATGATATACATCCTGTTTAACCGCAATTACTATCTCTTATAATTACATTTGAAAATAAGATATTTTAAACTTCTGACTTTTCTATCTCTTCAATTGTAATAAGTCCATATTAGCAATCAGAACATTGAATAGAATCAAATTATAAGTTTTCTGCTTAGAAATGATGACTTACCTTAAGATCATCTATTTCTATAAGACTGAATTTATAAGTGACATTTTAATAAATAAGGTACTTATTACATTCCATTTATAATTACTAATTTTATGATGTATCATAATCAGATAAATTTTTACTTTAAGATGGGAATATTAATGGACAAGTTAGAGGTTCCTTAATTATGAAACTTGTTACTAAACAAGGAATATCTACAATCTATAGTTTCTAAATAACATTTTAAATTGTAAGATTTTTAATCATAAGAATACCATAATAGTCTAAATTTAAATAATATAATATTTACATTATCTTAAACTTAATTTGAGGAGTGGTGAATATAAAATTGTAGAATTAATTATCTCAATATTCTGTAAATAAATATTGATGGCAGATTCTATGTTCAAGAAATATGAGAATTAGGTAGATGAAAAACTACAATTGTTTACATTTACACTTGCATATTTAATTGATATCAAAGCATTACTATTACGAATAGAATCAAGATCTGAAATACTTGGAGATTATAAAAGTGATATAAAAGTATTAAATCCTTTTTAAGTATTCTCAAATATTATGCCACTAATATAAATTTATGATTTTATATTGTCCAAACTTGATGATTAAAATGATAGAAATGAACTTTTTATGGAATAACAATCTATTACATTTAAATTAGACATTTCAATATTATTCTCCTATTAAGATGGAATAATATATATGCCTCCTCCTTCTAATCTACTAAAAGAGGAGTCAAAAGTAGTTGATTATATAATTAATGTTAATTTTGATAATTGTGCATCTATATAAATACAACCTCCAGTTGAAAAAGAAGAACTAATCATTGAAGTTTATGTATTTAAAAATTTCGAATTTTTTATTATAATACTGCTTATACCTTATGTATTAATATAAAATCCTCCTCCATAATTAGAAAAAGATTAATCTATTCTCACTCTATCTAAATTAAGATATGTTGCAATTAATAATCCATTTCCACTTTTAGAACTAATTGGTAAAACATTAATTAAACTTTAACCATCAATATCATTATTATCATCAGATAACAAGATATTATAGCCAATTATAGAGAGTTAAAGGATGTTATTTTTTTGAAATTTCGTATTTGTTATTCCTATGGTTATAGCTTTTAGATACAAAATAGAATCAGTGGAATTAGTAACCAAATTTTGTTTAAAATAAGAATTTTCAAGATAAAAGTTACCTTATTGTAATTGAATAAGTAATGTTGAAGTTGATTATCTTGATAAATCTTGAAAATATTGATTAAGATGATTATAATAGAATTTTATATTGCTAAATGTGACAAATGATGATTATTCTGATAGAATTGATATTATAGAAGTAGCTCGGTTGGCCTTTGTGATAATAAGCATATTAGAATCAAAAATAGAATCTATTATATCAATTTATTCATTTTATATTTTTTCCATTAAGTCATATCCTTTAATGATAATAAAAGGATTGTTATATGTAATACTATTGCTAAGTTATAAATTCTTTATTGTAATATTTTAGTAAAATCCAATATACAGAAAATGAAACATCTGAGAATAAGCATAATTATTAACACACTCAAAAGATTAATGTAAAGTTTTAGAATAATAATTAGATGATTGAGAAAGATACAAATTCTTAATATTTAGATTTTATGAATGTAATATTGTGATTTCAGGAAGTCCATATCCTCTTTAAATATAAACTGAAATCAATTTACATTAATAACACTCTATATAAATATTTGATTGCTCATATGAAATATAATTTGGTATTTCATTAAGTAATGATATACTATTGTTGAGTGTAAATGAATCAATATAAAACATCTAAGTATTAATCTTTTCATATAAAATTATTCTTAAAATTGATTATGCATTTGTATATTTAAGATTCTCTATTTTACAATTAATAATTGAAATTTTAGCAGCATTTAACATTGATTCATCTGAATTTGCATAATCTACATCATTAGTAATGAGTGTACTATTTTAAATCATAGTGTTGTTAAATTATAAGTCTGATATCTAAATGATATTAGAAAAATAAAAATAAGAATTATTCTAAAGAATTAAATCTATAACTGTGACTGTTTTTGTTATAAAAGATGAAGCACCTTAGATTGAAAATATTGTTGATTTATCATTTAAAGTAACAGCAATTAAACTCAAATTATTAACAATAACTGTTCCAATATCATATTCAAGTTAAGTTTATGTGTATGTTAAATTAGATTTATCAAATTGAGTATCAGTTATAGATATTTAATTCATTTAGATATTAGCAAAGAGATCATTAGATTTAGCTTAAAAATTAAAGAGGTTTGTATTTTTTAAATATGAAGTTATAATTTGTAATCTTGATATAATTACTTTTTATTCAAAGCCTGAAGAAATTTAAAATTAAAATACTTATGAATCTTAAACTTTAAAGTCTCTAATGATAAGATTTTCAATATTTAATGAATATCCTTAATCAGAAATAAATTAGAATTGCTTCAATTATTGAGTTGAATTAGTTGTAGTAAATATGCAATCTTTTATGATTAAGTTCATTTTTAATTAAGTATTTATCAAAACAATATAAGATTATAAAGAATTATTGTTATCTTGAATAGCAGTTTGAAATTATATATTTTCAAATGTAATAGATCCAAAATTTTTTATTTATAAAATTTTATCTATTATTATAGTAGTAGGATACTTGTCACCAATAAGTTTTAAATTAACTTACTAAATGGAAAATACATTTTATTATATTATATTTAATAATTTAGAATCTTATTAGAGATAACATGATAATCCATTTTGTGAGATGAATCTAAATTAAAATTCTACCTCTCTTATTACTTTTTCATTAAAATAAGTATATAAACTTGATGTTTCTACTATTCTTAAATATCCAATTGCAAAAAGTACATCTATAAATATATTGTTTTATAGAAACACTTATTAATCTGTACTTTTCTCTAAATCAAACATATATAAACCATGTTAACAATACACATTTTATCTAAGTATGGCTTTATGATAACATTTATCATATTTTTCACAAAATGTTATTGTTTAAATATTTTAATCATTGTAGTATGAACCTTCAGTAGTATCTTATTAAAATTCTTCATAACAAATTCTTGTATATTTAATATTATTCTATGTAATAATAAAATAGGGATTAATATTTTGAATTTCTTCTGTTGATCTCTCTAAACAAGCAGCACAATAGTTTGGACAAGTTAGACATATCCCTTTAGAATCTTGACTCTTTAAATATCCATATGGAGTTTCTAAACATTAAGTGCATATTGAAATTCCATTAATTATGTTACATTCTGTACAATCTTCATTACAATCTTTAATACAAGTAAATTCATAAAGGATATATCCTTTAGGACATGATGTACAGATCAATTCAAAATCTGATTCAAAAGTTGATGTTGCATATTATTCAAAAGGATGAGAGTCATCTTAATTAAAAACATATTTATAATAAGCTTTAATTCCCCATTTCCAAAAGTCTTAGTATTCTTTATTTTATTGAATACATGTTTTACAATTTTATTCACATTGAATGCATCTACCAGTTAAAATACTTGAATAATATCCATCAACACATACTATACAAAATGTACTGGCAGAAAGATAATTAGATATACACTATTAACAATTAGTAATTGTTGAGCAAAATATATTTTGAGTTGAAGTTACACTGTATTAACTTATTAAACAATGACTTGTACCTAAAGAATCTATTATTAGACCAAAAGTGCATAATTCAGTTGATACTTCATTAATCTTACCATCTTAATCATTAGGAGGAGCAGGATCACTAGGATTAGTAGAACCATTTCCAGAGGTTTAAGGTGCTATTTCACATTATAATGTAATTAAATTGTAGTAATAATTTTATTGACAGAGTGCACAACCAATAAATAATTAAGATTCAGCCATATCAATTATAGATGTATTTATATCAAATTTTGTATGTGTGACATCATTTTTAATAAAATAATGATAACAAATTTAGCAATTAGGAATAGTGCAAATTTCACAATTCTTACCATCAAATGATAAGAAATATGTAATAGGATTATCACAATAATTACATTAACCTTAGTAGTTACAACTAGCACAATATTATCCACAAGATTAACATAATCCTTCAGAATTTAAATATGTTCCAGTTTTGCAAGATCTACAATGTGTATTTTTATTATAGAATGTACAATCAGTGCAACTTAAACATTATTAACATAGATAATCATCTGTTAAAGCATAATTTGAAAAACACTTTTAACAAATTCCTTTTTTAACACAAGTTTCACAACCATCTAAACAAGCACTACATTATTTATTAGAATCCAAAAAAAATCCTTATTTGCATTTACTAGATTATACAAATCCATATTATAATGTCAATTCATACTAACCTTCTAAATTTTGATTAGCTATATAAAACTCAATTTCTCTATTCTGTCTTTAAGTGGTGAAATATGAATTATCTTCATCATATAAATAAGTATTGGTATCTTCTAAACATTATAAATTCTAAGCAAAACTTACAGAATCAAAAAAACAATTTGAACACAAGATCTGATATCTTGTACTATACAATTAATAACCAGGACTTATTTATTTATTATAAATACCATTATATGCAATTATCTCTATATAAAAAATGACCGAAAAGGCATTTTTATATATTATTATCACAACTATCAAAACCTCTTTTGTTACATACAACTTAAACTTCATCTTCTTCAAGTTAAGGGAATTTAACAACAACAGGTTAACATATTGGATCATTTTCAATATCAACATATTTATTTTTGCAAGTACATGTCTTTTAAGTAATAGATTGAACTCTAAAACTGTTGATTGGACATGATAAACAATTAGATATACCAGGACCATCACATGTATTACAAGAATAATGACATTTAGGATTTAACATTATTGTTGGTGTTGTACAATAAGTAATCAAAGTTAAATCACTTAATTATCCAATTAGATAATTTTTAATAAAATTGTCACCCCCAACAAAATAATATAGAATAGTTCCAGTAAAATGATTTATAGGTACAGTCCATTTATATTGAAATACTTTATCTAAAGATGGAAAATATATTGAAAATAAAGGTTATCCATTATTATTATTTGTTCCAATCTCATATTATATATAATGCCAATCAATTAACAGATTTTAATATTATGGTCCTGTTACTGTTATGATATCAGTGCCTGAACTCTAATATTTTATTTCCATTGGAAAATTGTATGTGTAGGTTGTTATTGAAAAGCCATTTTAAGTAGGTACTATACTTTAATAATACTTTAAATATAATTCTTTATCTCCAATTGTCATATCATCATTATAATTACTATTTATTGAAATTCTTAATATAACTGTTTCAAGATAATAATCATCACTTAAAAATTCCATTTTAACCCAACCCTAAATAACATAACTTGGATTTTCTAATTGACTTGTATTATTATTTGTGAATCCATTTCCAGTAAATACTTAATTATACCCTGATAACTTATAGGTTTTTATTGAACAAGATGGAACTATCTCACAAGTTGATAGAAATGAATTTAAATCTAAAAATATGTTTAATTGCTCTTTGCTAAATAATGTTGATATTCTTCCTTTAAATTATTACAAACTCAAAATCTCTCCTAATTAATTTTTTATTTCTTATACTCCACCAATTATATGTCTAACATATTTTACTAAAGAAGGGATGTCTTATAGTTACTATGTTTTTGTTGATACAGTTTATTCTGCTTAATAAAAACCTACTGTTGTTTATTTTTACAAAAGATCATAATAGACATAAAATAAAATCCATCTTCCTTCATATTCATCAAATTCAAAATTGAAAGAAATAGTCCCTGTTGTTGATTAAAATGAATAAAATATATTATGCATTATTGTGTTAGTTGCCGGTGTAATTGTAATATAAACAGTTAACATATTAAATTTTGTATCCTTTTACTATTACATATATATAAAAAATCCTGATTCTACAGGCTCTCTAAATATAATACCACCTGTAGATGAACTTGAAGTCGCTAATTAATCAATTCAAAATCATACTAATCTAAGAAATAGGTACAAAAGGTTAATACTTTATCCATAACCCATAACCAATGTTTGAAGTGCCTAATAACACTATATTATCTAAATTGATGTCTAGTTATTATTAAGGGTCAGTTAAACTTAGTAAAGTAGATCCAGTTTTTAAGTATCCGCAATCAGATAAGCATAATCTCTTATTAAAATGAATATTACTTTAGCAGACCAAAAACAATAAGTATAAAGAGATTAGTACCTTATTGATTCATTTTTTAAAACAAAATTATTTAATTATTATAGTTAATTATATAATTACTTCTGAAATATAATATGTTTTCTAATTAAAATTAATTAGATTGCATCAATTGATAAACAAAACGGCTTGTAATATTTCTCACTTTATTATGAATATTTCTTTAATTACACTGATAATTTAGTATTCATACTCATTATTATCAGGAAATAATTGGGTTTTTCATTTGATATAATTATCAATCAGACATTAGAAAATACTTTTAAAGTATGAAAATCAATGGAAGATCTTTTATATTTTGATGATTCTAAACTAATTTAAACTTAATTTTATTAATAAAAATCAATTTATTCAATCAAATTTGTTAGGATTAATAATAAAGTACAAAAATATAAATTAATGTAGAATTTCAATTACTTCTTCCGACTACAATATGTATTTCACAAATCATTCATCAGTAATTGATTTAATTATATATTTATAACTAATATTTATAATAATTAAATATTTGAAATTCGTTAACCAATCAAATTAATTTATTGGGTTTTATGAGAAAATATATTTTAATTTCTTTTGGATAATACATTAATATCAATAGGCCATTTAAAAAAGACCTAATAAAAATTAACAAATTAATTCTTAAATAATTTTATTTTTTTCTAAAGAAAACCAAAAATATTTATGGTTTCATCCATCCTTTCTGACATTCAGATCAAATCCTTTTTAAAATTACTTTTATTTGGATTGGTGTAGTAGGATATTTTAATATAAAAAATCCAGCTAGAAAATTGATTAAAATTAATAAAAGATAAGATTTAATATGATTTCATGGCTTTTTTAAAAGAAATCTCAATAAATATGAGAGTAAATGGAAATATCATATCAAAAATGATATTTAATAATAGGAAATATAATTAATAAACAATATAATAGTGAACAAGAGATCATGTTTTAAATATTGATTATCAGATAATCTAATGAATTTTTATGAAATAAATTGCTTTACATTTATGATTAATTAAATTTGATAATTAATTTCACCAATTATTAAACTAAATACATCTATTGAATTTCTTTAACCTTTTAAAAAATTTATATTGTANATGTTTTCTAATTAAAATTAATTAGATTGCATCAATTGATAAACAAAACGGCTTGTAATATTTCTCACTTTATTATGAATATTTCTTTAATTACACTGATAATTTAGTATTCATACTCATTATTATCAGGAAATAATTGGGTTTTTCATTTGATATAATTATCAATCAGACATTAGAAAATACTTTTAAAGTATGAAAATCAATGGAAGATCTTTTATATTTTGATGATTCTAAACTAATTTAAACTTAATTTTATTAATAAAAATCAATTTATTCAATCAAATTTGTTAGGATTAATAATAAAGTACAAAAATATAAATTAATGTAGAATTTCAATTACTTCTTCCGACTACAATATGTATTTCACAAATCATTCATCAGTAATTGATTTAATTATATATTTATAACTAATATTTATAATAATTAAATATTTGAAATTCGTTAACCAATCAAATTAATTTATTGGGTTTTATGAGAAAATATATTTTAATTTCTTTTGGATAATACATTAATATCAATAGGCCATTTAAAAAAGACCTAATAAAAATTAACAAATTAATTCTTAAATAATTTTATTTTTTTCTAAAGAAAACCAAAAATATTTATGGTTTCATCCATCCTTTCTGACATTCAGATCAAATCCTTTTTAAAATTACTTTTATTTGGATTGGTGTAGTAGGATATTTTAATATAAAAAATCCAGCTAGAAAATTGATTAAAATTAATAAAAGATAAGATTTAATATGATTTCATGGCTTTTTTAAAAGAAATCTCAATAAATATGAGAGTAAATGGAAATATCATATCAAAAATGATATTTAATAATAGGAAATATAATTAATAAACAATATAATAGTGAACAAGAGATCATGTTTTAAATATTGATTATCAGATAATCTAATGAATTTTTATGAAATAAATTGCTTTACATTTATGATTAATTAAATTTGATAATTAATTTCACCAATTATTAAACTAAATACATCTATTGAATTTCTTTAACCTTTTAAAAAATTTATATTGTACGATAATTATATAAATTATATAATAATTATAATTCAGGAAATAAAAAAATAAAAATCTTGAATATAAAATAAAGGGGTGTATAATTATAATTAAAATAAAATGTTGGTTGAATAAGAGATTGTTTTCAAATTTTTACTTTTAGGGGGCCCTTCTGTAGGGAAATCAGCTTTTCTAATCAAATATACTGATGAGCTTTTTATGGAATAATATATTCCAACCATAGGAGTAGATTTCAAGGCAAAACATTTGGAATTTAATGATAAATCAATAAAGTTGTAGGTGAATAAACAATTTTAAATTAGATTTGGGACACCGCAGGATAAGAAAGATTTATGACAATAGTCTAAAGTTATTTTTAAGGAGCTAATGGAATTTTTATAATTTATGATATTACCAATAGAGAATCTTTTAATGATATATGGAAATGGCTAGAATGTATGAAAAATTTCGATAATTATTATAGAAGCTGATAAGTATGCAAAACCAGATGTGCTTAAAATGTTGGTCGGGAATAAATCTGATTTAAATGGATAAAGAGAGGTAACTGTTGAAGAAGGATAAAAATTTGCCAATTCAAAGGGTATGTTTTTTATAGGTATATTATTATTATAATGAAATAGAAACATCTGCAAAGGAAGGATTTAATGTAGAATAAGCTATTAAGAATTTTTTACTTGAAGTTTTATCATAATATGAATCAAAGAAAAAAGAGGAGAAACCTGAAAACCAATGACAGAATATAAAAGAACATTAAAAATTTTAATTTCTAATAATATTTTAAATTTCCAGCTATATATATCATGTTGCGTATTATAATGTTATAAAATCTTTATAATAAGAATTATATTATTTTAAGTTTTACTTGTATTGATCGAAACTATCTATAATTTATAATTTTATAAACTATAAATCAAATAATATTGTTTAAAGTTAGTAAATTAAAGACTCCGAAAATAATTTAAAATAAAATTTGCATCACCAAATATTAAACTATTAAAATCAAATATAGGATCTCATCGAAATTAAAATGACTTTAAAAAAAAGTTTTGATTTTCTTAAAATTAATCTGATTTGAAGATATAGTCATTATTTGTTAGTCCAATATTAGAGCTATTGAATTTTATTATTAAACAATAGATTCTGATTACAATCTTACTTATATAGAGCTTTTACACAAAATAATTTCTCAATAGATTATTAAAAATATGTATATAATTTAGGTAAATGTATGTTTCTAAAAATTTAATTATTAGAGATTACATAAATTTAATCAAGTTTAGAAAGGATATTTTTACAAAAGATATTGATTAACTCTAATTTAATACTTTAAATTAAGTAAAATATATTTTCTATAAGCATTAAAATTAAGTTAGATATTATTAAATAAACCTCAATATATTGCAGTATAATATAAAACTGATTTACATTAAATGCCTTATTATAATTATAAATATTCATAATTTATTCTGGATTTATTAATAAATAAATATTATCAATTTATATTAATTAAAAATAAAAATGAGAAGAATATAAACTCGTCCACTTTTAATATTAAAACCAGAAAATGATGATTTCCCTTTTGATATCAAAGATGTTAATATAAGTGACATTAAACAAATCGATTATTTTAGAATGTACAATTCTTTAAAAATGGTGTTGGAAAAGCTAATAGAAGAACAAGTAATAGTATTAAATTTATTTAGCCATTGCAATAAAAATTACAAACTAATATAGATTTTGCATTCCAAGTCTTTTTGCAAAAAGATTAAATATCATCTTAATAACAAAAAGCCGGAAAAAAAAATCAATCATAACCTTTTTTAAAAAAAGAAATCTTATAGCTAGTCGAAATATTATCCTAAATGGGATTTTCAGATAAATAAATACAGGAAAGGTTATAATTGAATCCTGAGCAAACATTTAATGGTATTACCTAACATTCAGAAATTTAAGAAGGAGATTAATAATCAGGAAAAAAATATAGTAAAGAAAAGTAAAAGTAAGGATAAATTATTGACAAACAAAAACTCTAATAAGAGCAATAATTCCATTCTGATGATGAGCCTGAACAAAATTGAAGGAATGAAATATAATGTTTTAATTTTCCTCGTATATTAATAGTCGACATTTATACAATAAAATATATAAAATTATATAAGAATTTCATGCTTATAAGTTTATAAAGAAGAAAATTTCTATTTTTTTCAATCATTTTATTAATCATAAACTACTAAAGTAATTACAAATTCTTAAGTAAAATGAGGAGATAAGTGAGAATGATATTAATAAATATATAATCAAGATATATAAAAATATTCCATATTTATTAAATATTCTTTTAGAATTATTGTAATAAGAGCAATAATGATCAACAAGAATTAAAACCCATTTAATTTTACATTAATTTGATTATAATTACAATAGATTAATCATTTTTGATACTATATAAATATTTATAAGCATAATAGATTGTACAAATCTAAAATATTATTTTATTAAAGAAACCTTAAATAAATACATATAAAGCTTTTGAATTTTACATATCTATCATAGAGAGGAAAATTTGAGTAAATTAAAGAATTGTGTGTAAGATTTTAAGGCTAATTTAATAATAATTTCTTGGATGATAATGGTTGTAAATATTTTAACAAATTCTTATAACTTAAACAGTTAAATTTACCTTTTTTTGTTGATTTTACTACAAGTACTTAATGGGTACATTTTTAGAGTTTTGACAAAGCTTTTATATTATACATTATCAAATCTAATTAGAAGTTAAATGTTCTTAAATCCTTAAATTGAATTTTTGATAATAGAATAATAACATAAATTTTAATAACCAATATTTTAGACAAAGAGAACAGTAGATAATGGAATTCTTTAAAAAACTAAATAAATATGAATTTAATATGAAGAGGATATTGTCTTGTTATTTGAAAATATATATCTTTTGCTATAGTAACAATATTTAATATAGGTTAAAAATTGAAAGGATTACCTCTATAAGAAATTGAATTATCATTTTTGTGTATTTTATGACGTATTGCTAAATGATTTAATTTTCTTAAAAACATTTAATATTCTCTGCAATTATAAAATAGCATTTTTTTTAAGTTTTGTTTAACTAAATATATTTATATATTTATTAATTAAAATAATGGGATTCGGCACTAATCCATATTAGAATGAGAATCATGAAGATAAGAGTCAATATGCAATCACTGGAAGACCTTAATTGAGTGATGTTCATTCAATTTATGTAAAAGGAAATTCACCTTGGTGGAGAAGATGGTGGGCTACTCGTGACATGTTTTAGGAGCATCATTGGGAAGTTCTGTACATAATATACATTATATATCGTTAGCACATGTGCTAAGTATGCGTATAAAGGAGCTCTAACTGCCATATTAGTAGGAGCTACTTACTAATTCAAACAATTATCAGTAAATGCATTGGCAATCAATAAAGGAAGAGTGTTTGCTAGCAAAAATGCATTCACAGGTCCAGCATTTCTTGCCCTAAAATAAGCATCAAGACATGGAACACTTGGTGCTTTATTTGGAGTTGCCTACTTTTTCTGGTTTTATTAATTAGTTTGTTCAAGAGGTCATTAACATACATTTAATGGATACCTTTTTGGTCATGCATTATACGGAGCAGCATTAGCATCATTTTTCAGTATTAGAAGAAGCGGAGTTGGAGCTTTGGTTGGTGGAATAATTGGTAAAGAATATAAAAATTGTGTAGGTTGGATTTATTATAATACAGCTCATGGAAATTTATAGATTGGTAATAAGGCAGAAGAAGGAATCAATTTTGAATTCAAGGGATTAACACCTGAATAAAGAGAGGCTATTAGATAAAGAGATTTGATAAGTCATTTGAGTAGAACACCAGAATTCAAATTAAATTTATTCAATAAAGTATGAAAATTACAACATATAATATAATAATTTAATATCATGTCAAAACATTCATAAATAAAATAGTAAATCATGTATTCATACAAAATAATACTTAAAGATTATGATAAATAAATCTTTATAAAGCCCATTTATAAGAAAATTTATAAGAGTAATTATTAAATTTTCATTAATTTAGTTAAATACTCTTATTGTACTAAATAAAGAATAATAGTAATTAAAGAAACTTTTGTTTACATATAACAAAACAAATAATATTAAATTGATCAAAATTTAAGGCCTTTTAATTTTTATGAGATTTTGCATATCAAGTATTTGACTATCTGACAATAAGTCATAGTAAAGAATTTGATAAGAATGAAATTATTTATATATAAGTAGAATAGGTAGAATTTAACATATATTTAATCCTGTGATGTTAATATGAATATTAGCTAAATCAAACAAATTTTGATGTATTATTCTTTTTTGATTATCCCAAGTATTTGCTAGCATTTTAAGTACTTTAATTTTAACTGACACCAGCTGATGCTTTATTGATTTACACTAACAATGAAGGATTCTTCAATTTTATCAAAGAAGCTATATCATTCAATCTAAATTAATTATATTTATATATACCTATTCTAAACAAATTACAATTTTGCCTTCATTAAATTATATCTAAATGAAACATTTTATCTAATTGTCTCTTCAGAAGCAGAGCTGAATTCTAATGACAACATTTCCATAAATTTGTATTCTAAATTTTCAATAAAATCGAGTCTTGCAGCTCCGTCTTATTGCATGAATAATACGGAAAAGAAACTTAATTAATATATACTTTTACTGATTAGGTTCTTTATGACATGCATTTAACAGCTTGATCAACATTTATAAAAATTATGGATATTCAATAGTTAGTTTTTATTCTTCTCTTATTTTTTTATAAGTCTCCTTATTTATTCTATATTCAATTTAAATTATACATTGTAATATAATTGAAAAACAAATCTGTTTCACTTGTTAATTCAATTTTCAAATTCTCAAATGCTTATTATTCACCCTAGATTTAATTACAACAAAATAAACTTAAACTAAAATTTTCACTCTAACCTATTCTAATGTGCCAATTTCTTGTGGACCTGTATTTGCATCCTGAACTCTAATTTTATTATTATTTATTCAAATCTACCTTGTTTCTATGTGAATTTCACGATCAAATTGTATTTTAAAACCTCCTTCTAAACTTGGATCAATGTCTTCTAAAGCTCCCAAATCTAACTGTGAATCGTCCATTTTATTTTTTATTTTTATTATATCAAATAAAACTTAATGTTAGAGAAAATAATTTAATATTATATTATAATATATATATATATATCTCTAATTAGAAAAACAAGCAAGAGCAATTCATTTTTGAATAATTATTGTTTCAATTTATTAAAAATCCTTATACTTAATTCATTAAATCAATAATTGGAATCTTAAATGTAAAAATAATCACTAAAACTTGATTATGGTGTTTTCATAAAGATAAAGATAAAACCTAATTATAATATATGAATTTTACAATTCTACTATTCCAAGACTCTTTCAATTAACATTTCTTTACTTTTTTTGAATATCTCTGATTGAGGAAGATGATTCAAACCAATTATTTATAACGTAGCATTTTACAGTTAATTTATTCTGAGTTATAAAAATTATCCATTGCTTGTCTTTAAAATTTCTAATAGAAAAATTATTAATGCATGCTTCAAAGTAACAAATTTTATATCTTCATTGCAAACTATATTTATTGCATTTTTTGAAGTCTAAAATAATTACACACATTTTTATAGTAATTTTTTTATTGTGACTATTTTTAATTCACAAACTTAACTTTATTAATAATATATTTCTATTAATGATATTCTTAAATTTGTTAATAAAGGATGATAATTTTCCTTTTACATTGTTGCCAAAACCTTATTAATTGGCATAATTTATTAATGAAAGAATTTCTTGTATATTTGAATCTATTGTAAGTATTTAAGTTTTTATTCCTTTCTTATTGGATCTTCTGATTCTATTATTATAGCATAGATAACTTTTTCAAATTAATAAGCTATAATAGAAATTGAAACTTTTTTATTAAGATAATCAACATTCAGATACTAATTGAAAAGACATAAATTATCACTATGTTTTATACTTTTAACAGTCAATTACTATATGTAAGCTTATAAGGATTCATTACTTGAAACTTTTGATTGATACAAAAATGTAGTTAAAGGAGTTTCAGATTCAAAGTATTCTTTTAAATAAGATGAGATTATTTAATATGCATTTTCTTCTTTGTTGAAAGAAAATAAAAAATAAGGTTTCTTCAAAAAAAGAGGAATCATCTTTTCTAAAAAATAATTTTGTAATTTCTTACCCCAAGTGCTATCTTTCAAAGACAGAAAAAATGAATTCCTATATTACTTTTCTATTTCATATTATATGAGAATATAACTTAAACTCAATAAAATTGTATAAACATATTGCTAAGCAATCATTTTATTATCATAAAGCTATACAATAAGTATTTTAGAGATAGTATGAGTCAAATTTGCTAATATTCCTTATTTAAGATCATTAGCAAACATTAAGATTGTATGAACCAACATTTGATTACTACCAAGTAAATATCCATCATAGTATGTTTTGAGAGGATCTGGATTTTCAAATTCGAAGGCTATAAAGATTAAATTACAAATTAATAAAGCATTATTGGAGTACTTTCTAAACTTTACATATTTTCTCAATATGATGTATTGGAGAAAGAGATAAAATGAAACAATTCCATTTTTTAATGCATTTTAATACTTTTCAGAGATCAAATAAACAAAAAAGTTTATTATTAAAAGTAAGGATCCTCCTCCTGTTACATAAGTTAATGTAGGAAATTGTAGAGTATTGCTTCGATGTATCAAATATTATTCTTCAATTTTTGAGTCTTTGAATCTTAAGGTATATTTTTACATAATAATTAATGATCATTTAAATGCAATGATTTCAGAAGTTTAAATGATGAAAAGAAATATTCGACAATAGTATATTTTATATTGCAAATTGTAGAATGAAAACATCTCTTTTATTAACATCAAATATACTAGTCAAAGAATTTGCTTAAAAATCAAAGGGATTATATAATAATTATTATTATCTATTTAAGTATTCTATCAAATATGTATGCCCCATTCAATAATTCATTAATATATTACTTTTTCTCTACTAATTATAACAAAAATTATTAATTTTATTTAAAATCTTTTATATAATTCATTCATTTAATATTAAATTTATTATATGGTAGAATGAATATTACAATAAATATATATAATCTAATTAAATTTATTATTGTTGATTATTTATAAGGGAAATTGCAGTATAAGGATAACTTTTTGGTTTACTCTTTATATTTTATGTTTTAATTTTTAAGGATTAACTGTTTTATCAATAAATCTTTTTCATTAAGTAATTTTTTGTTTTTTTTGACTAACTAAGAAATTTCTTAAATTTAATAAAAAGACAATTAGACCAAGTAGAAGGTTATATTTTACAAGCTTTCTATTGTATTCGCTCACAGATTATTATTTTATATAAAGTATATTATTCTATTTATATATAATAAATTTATATAATTCATAAATATATTTCAGATGAGTATAATTTTTTCATTCTCTTAAGATAAAATTTTTGTTCTAAAGGAACTTATAGGAGTCAGGTATGAATTCATTAGATACCTAATTAAATTATTAATTACTTTTAATTTTCTATCTATACTTTAGATTAAGAAAGTAAATATAATTTCAACTTATTATAATTCTTTGCTATTTGTTCATTTTTTGTTTTCCATATTGATATTTTATTTCCCAAATAACGTGAAAATTTTGAATTAGGAACAATTTTTTAAAGATTTTATAAAATGAAACTCAAAATGACAATCTTATATTTTTTCCAATATGTAAGTAAAATTTTAAATGTAAATGAGTAGAAAAGTTTAATCCAAAGAAGAAATATGAATATCTATAATATGACAGAATAAAATTGATTATTATTTTACTAGCTTATATATTTTACTACAGCTAAAAAAATAGTTAAAGAGCATAATTAACATGTTTAAATGTCTAATTTATTTAAGCTTTTAATTATTAATGGCTATTAATTTTGAGCTAATGATTAATATAATAACAAACATATTCCCAATAATGATGCTTTCAAAAATAAATTTGTCTCAAAATAAACTATTATTACTATTATCACAGTCTTTTTCAAAATTTTTATATATTCCCAAAAATAGCTAGATTGATTATATTCGTTGAATAAATAACCAATATGTCTACGAAGTTTAATACTTTCAAATTTTTCTTTCTTTAGATACATTAATAAAAATAATAAAATTGGTATACCAAATCCAACAATCACTACTCCAGGAAGTAGAAAAGTAAAAATCCATTTTTAATGAGTTTGTGACTCAAATTTTGATGAAACATCTCCTTAAATGAAATCAATATTTGAAATTTATCTCTTTGCTAATAATGATATAAACCTAATTTTATCAATATAATTATACTGCTTAACCAAACTTGCATTATTTTAAAGATATAAATATAAAATAATGTTAGTAATTATGCTGGTTCTTAAATAATAATCATTGAAAACTGAATGAAGTTTAAAACCAATACTAATAAATAATAATTGAACAACTATCAAGATTAGCATAGTTATAATTCTTGAATATTTTAATTCGATCATCTATTCAAATTATGATATAGATAAAAGGCAATCTAAACTATTAGCTAAGACAAAAGAAGAATTACTGGCTGATTCAAAAAATGTTATTGAAATTGAGAATTCAATATTAAAACTAAAAATAACTGAAAAAATCCACAAATAATTGAGTAACATCTTAATTAAAAAACTTTAATGATCTATAATATTTTAAATGAATTAATACCTTAATTAAGTTTAAATATAATTCTTCTAAATTTCTATTTAAAACTCAATGAGGAATATAATTAATTTGTTCTTTCAATGCTTCTTACTGATAATAAAATCGATAATAGAGACCTAGATAAATTATACAGAATTCTTTTACCATAAAGAAACAAATATAAAGGGTATTAAATTAATAAATTCTTTTGGACATATGTTACATTACAAGTTTGATTAATTTTTAAAATAATAATTTTTTTTTGATTATCAAAAGACAATTTTGATAAAAATTATTATTCTTTTATTATTAACCCATCTTTGGATAAAATTGTTTAGCTTATTTCACAAATTGAATCACTAACATTAGTTAATAATTCATTCATCTAATTCCTAAGAGAAATAGAAATTTCATTAATTTATTCATAGCAATCTAATTTTAATGGATTGTACAGACAATAATTTCCAATTTTTTAATTGCTTGGTATCAATAAATATTTAGTTTTCAATTTTTTACCTTATTAAATTGTTATGTATTCATTTAGTAAAAGATAATTCGTAATCAATTCTATTTCTTTAGTTTAATAAAAATTCATTTCTTTATTGTTAAGTGACAATCCTAAATGATTTGGTACTTCAACTAAATTATTGCTATATTCATAGGCTTTATTTAATAATAAAATAGACTTAATAAAATTCTTTTCATTTAAATTATTATCTCCATAAAAATAGATTCCACCTGCAACTTAGGCTGAATTTTCCATGATTGTAGTTTCAATCAATTTTAATTAATTTTTACTTGACTCAAAATAAATTGCTCCTCCTAATGAAGAAGCATAATTGTTTAGAAAAATACATTTTGATATTATCAAATTTATATTATATGAAATAATTCCTGATCCTTAACTACCAAAATTATTAATAAATTAAGAATTCTTGATAATTGCTAAATTTGATTAAGTAGAATTTGAACGTAAAATCATACAACCTTTATTTGTAATTTTATTTGAATAACATAGTAGGTTAGTTATTTTTATTTATTTAAAATTTCTAATATTAAAATTTATTATTCCATGTTCACAATTTAAACAATCATTATTTGATATGGTAATAGTTTATAATTCAAATTTTGAATAATTTGTAAAACTAAAGAAACTAATTAAAGAATCTACAGGTATATTGTTTTCAATTATTTATTCGATTATATTTTATAAATTAAAAATCTAATATTAAATCTCTACTGAAAATATTGGATTACAATATAAATTGCTATTTTTAATGAACAATAATGTTTTTTTTAGTTCTATATCTTTTATATTTTAAGAAAAAGAAATAGATTGAATATTGATTTATGATAATGCTACAGTTATATATTCTGAAATAACTTATCCAATATATATTAAATCAAAAGGAAAAAGTATGGAGACATTGTAAAAATTAAATTATTAGAATCGAACATTATAGCAATCTAAAATTTTAAAAACTGAAGAAATTATTGATCCTTCAATTTAAAATTTGAAAATTGTTATATGGCAATTAACTAAATAAATAATTGCATTGTCACTTGAAAGTTTACTCACCTCTTAATAACTCAATGGCCCAATATTTGAAAAGAAGTCTATCCATGCATTAATACTCTAAATTATTGTTATATTATGTAGTGAAACAAAGTTTTACTCTTTTTTCAACTTATCAAATTCAAGTTTAATTATCTAGTTCAAAAATGATAAGCAATTATAGAAAAGTATGTTTTTTAATTAAATCTTATTATATTTATTTGAAGGGAAAATAGTAAAAATTGATGAACCAAATTTATTGAACACATTAATAAAACTAGCATTTAATAATTAATATTTTAAAAGACTATTTTAAGCTAATATAGTTATACAGCCATGAATTCCTAAATCTTATCTTACATCCGCTTCAATATTAGATAAAATGATATTTTATATGGATATAATGCCTTAATCTTTGGTAGTAATTTCAAATAAGGCACAATCTTAAGATAATATATTATCAAATTTGCCATTATTTAATATAAACATAGAAGTTGTTAATTTAAGCACTCCAACTTTATTTAATAATGTTAGAAATTAATGACTAGCTAATTTTATAAATTGTTCTTTTATTTAATACTAAAATTAAATGTTATAATATTTTTCTAGTAGATAATTAGATAAAATATTAAGATTTGAGACAATAAAGTTATCTATTAATGTAACATTTGAATTAATAAATTAAAAAGAGTTTGAAGTGTTTATTAAAATGTTCTAAAAACAATAGAAATTTAAAATTTCCACTTTACTCAAATATGAATCAATAACAGTTAAACCACTTGATGATTAGGACAAATCATTAGTGTATTAGTGAAATATGTTTTCAGTAAAATTGATATCATGTATCGTAATGTTTTGTTTATGTTTTGAAGATATTGTTAAAAATGTATAAATATTTCCAGCATTACTTTTAAGCAATACATTTTGTGTGAATGTCAAATTATAGAAATAGAGCTATTCTTAAAAATCTTAAAAATTTTAAGTTTCTGATGTTATATAAATTAAAGTTTGATCAACAAAAAAGTAGTTTTGAACAAAAATATTCATTAAATTCAATAATTAAAATCTTTAAATTTTTAAAAACATTTTATTAAGTTATTAAGAATTCATACACTCTATATTTAATGGTATTTTATTAATCTGAATCGAATTAATTAGTTAAATGTCATCAAAAAATATTTTATTGATGTAATATAAATTAAAAAGTTGCAAATTAAAACAATCAATAATTTTTAAATCAAATATTCTAAGACTTTGACTATGAATATTAAATAAAAAACTCTCTAACTTTGAATAATTAGTATTAATATTTTTTATCAAATAAGTATTATTAAAATAAATTGAAAAAGAGTTACTTTAGATATAAGAAGATATATCTGCTATTGATGAATTTTTAAATTAATTATTAATAAATTAATTGCTGAGAAATATTATTTCTAATTCATTTTCTTATGTAATTTATTATGCTTTAAATAAAAATGAATTAGACAATAGATTAAATTTGAAATATGATTCAATCATTATAAATTAAGAGTTGGAAATAATGATATTAGAAATAGTAAAATTACTTTAGATAATTGATATTTCTTTCATATAAAGCAGTTGTGTTTAATAATTATTAATTAGATTCGACTATGTAAATATACATTCTTGAACATTAAGTTAAAGAATCTAAAGGTTAAAATTGGTTTAATATTCAACTAAGAAATTAAAAGCAGAGGACCTTAAAAATGTACATTAAAAAAAAGTTATATCTTTTATTTGAATTTCACTTATGTTTCCAAAAAAATGAAATATTGATGAATTTATAAATGTACAATTTATGAAATGTATGTTAGATATTTCTATCTTGCCTCCTAATTAACTAAAAGAAACTTCCCAAATAATAGAATCATTTATCCAAAGATTATTAAAGTTCAGATTTATTAATCTCAAATTATTAAAATCTTTTGCAAATGTAAGAAATGATATTATTTATTAATTATCTTAAGATCCTAAAAAATAAGTGTCTTCAATATTTAAATTTATCGATTCATCATTTTCAAATTTAAAGTAGAAATTTTTATTAATTGAAAATATCATATTTTGAATCTCAATTACATCAAAACCATTTATTATTAAAGAAAAATTAAATATATTATTTAATATATCTGCTTTTCTGATATTAAATCTAACTTATGATAATGAAAATATTTTCTGTTTTAATTTGCTCTCTATTTTAATCATTTCATAATCTTGTATATTTTATTATTCATCTAAAGGCAATAAATATAGAAACATGATTCTCATTATTCTAATTCCAATTTGGTTTAAATAATCTGTGTTTATATCATTTTCATAAAAGAATTATGGTAATACTGTTGTTAAGTGTTCTTAAACAGTCTTATAATTAATTTCAAACTAAAAATATTGAATATCATACTTCATACTGAAAGAATTCTGTACAATTTTAAGAAAAACAATATTAGGGAGTCAATTATGGTTGTCTAATGATTATATTTGGATCCGGTGCTGGATATAAACATTTATAAGTATATAAAAGGTTAGAATCAGTGATAATAAAATGCTTATTTAATTGCTATAGAAATTAAGAAATATATTACATTTATCTCTGATATATCTCTAGGTTGACAAATTGCACATAGAGGTGAACATTTTAAACATTGATTTTAATATTTAGATCTTAAAGGTAAGCGATAATAATCTAAAGAGCATTTTTTGCATTGAAATTTAAAATTTATATCATTAGTTCCTTCGCAATCTAAACAGTCTGATGAACAATAACTCTCACAAGTATTATATTAACTAATTTGATATCCATCCATACAAACTATAGGAAGAGGTGTTATTAAATAGGAATATGGCGTTGGATAGTGATATGAATTCGGCAAAAAACTCATAAGAAAACTTTATATTAATTAGATCCAACCATTCATTTATAATCCATCTCCTTCAATACTTATTTTTGAATTATTATATGGAGTTGTGTAGCATTAACCAGTTGTTACTGAACTTGTATAACCTTATGCACAAATTACACATTTAATTTATAGTGATGATATTAATACACATTACAAACAATTAATTATTAATTTCTCACAGTTAATAATTTCTGATGCAACCCTAAAATCATCAACAGAAGATAGTGTGCAAATCTCTGTCCCATCTAAATTGATAAAAGATCTCAAGCAAAATTGTAAATTTGGTTTTTGATGAAGACATAATCCAACAGTAAAATCAAATATAAAATTATCTTCGCATAGTGAACATCCTACAGAAAGAAACTCATCCTCTTAAAAAGTTTCAAAATTATCATACAATGTACATTTGTTTAAATCATTCTTCTTGTACTCAAAACAATATCTACAATTCTTAATTGGACATAGTTTGCATCCTTTAGTTGATGTTATATAATAAGGAGCTAAGCACTTATTTTTAATGAAAAATGATAATTATTGTTCATAATTGCTTTGAACCACTTTTAATTAACATTATCCATTCTTTGCTGTAAAATTATCTAAGCATAGTATACAGGCTAATCCTGTTTCAGTAACAGCACATTCAAGACAAGCATTTAAATTGCAATTATAGCACTCAAAAACTACAAGTAAACCATAAAAAATTTCATTTTTCTAACAAAATCTTTACTACCTATTTAAATTTGTAATGTAATTGTTATAAAGAGCTTATTCGTTTTATAATTATGAAAATTAGCAATGTTCNGCTGGATATAAACATTTATAAGTATATAAAAGGTTAGAATCAGTGATAATAAAATGCTTATTTAATTGCTATAGAAATTAAGAAATATATTACATTTATCTCTGATATATCTCTAGGTTGACAAATTGCACATAGAGGTGAACATTTTAAACATTGATTTTAATATTTAGATCTTAAAGGTAAGCGATAATAATCTAAAGAGCATTTTTTGCATTGAAATTTAAAATTTATATCATTAGTTCCTTCGCAATCTAAACAGTCTGATGAACAATAACTCTCACAAGTATTATATTAACTAATTTGATATCCATCCATACAAACTATAGGAAGAGGTGTTATTAAATAGGAATATGGCGTTGGATAGTGATATGAATTCGGCAAAAAACTCATAAGAAAACTTTATATTAATTAGATCCAACCATTCATTTATAATCCATCTCCTTCAATACTTATTTTTGAATTATTATATGGAGTTGTGTAGCATTAACCAGTTGTTACTGAACTTGTATAACCTTATGCACAAATTACACATTTAATTTATAGTGATGATATTAATACACATTACAAACAATTAATTATTAATTTCTCACAGTTAATAATTTCTGATGCAACCCTAAAATCATCAACAGAAGATAGTGTGCAAATCTCTGTCCCATCTAAATTGATAAAAGATCTCAAGCAAAATTGTAAATTTGGTTTTTGATGAAGACATAATCCAACAGTAAAATCAAATATAAAATTATCTTCGCATAGTGAACATCCTACAGAAAGAAACTCATCCTCTTAAAAAGTTTCAAAATTATCATACAATGTACATTTGTTTAAATCATTCTTCTTGTACTCAAAACAATATCTACAATTCTTAATTGGACATAGTTTGCATCCTTTAGTTGATGTTATATAATAAGGAGCTAAGCACTTATTTTTAATGAAAAATGATAATTATTGTTCATAATTGCTTTGAACCACTTTTAATTAACATTATCCATTCTTTGCTGTAAAATTATCTAAGCATAGTATACAGGCTAATCCTGTTTCAGTAACAGCACATTCAAGACAAGCATTTAAATTGCAATTATAGCACTCAAAAACTACAAGTAAACCATAAAAAATTTCATTTTTCTAACAAAATCTTTACTACCTATTTAAATTTGTAATGTAATTGTTATAAAGAGCTTATTCGTTTTATAATTATGAAAATTAGCAATGTTCACACAATTAAAGTTAATGATTAATTATTATATAATATTAAATTGATTAATCTTTAATTGTATTATAGGTATTATCTTGAATTATATATATTAATGTTTAACAATAAGGATTATATTACCAATTTAGAGGATTTGATATACATTCTAAACATGTAATAAGATTAGATTAAATAATTGAAGGACTATAAATATATAAATAATTAATAATTACCATTTAATACAAGTTTATGAATTAAAATAGAAATATCCATATTAACATTATATTTAATTAGTTTGATATTAAATTAATTAAAATTAAAAATGTTAATATGAATAACAAAAATCTTAATCAATTGTATTATATTAACAAATACATGCTTTTTATAATGGTATATAAATTCTATTTGAATTATTTTAACATGATAAACAATCAGAATTAGTAGGTCCATCACATAATTAACAACTTGAATGACAATTTTTATTAATTTATGAAATATCACAATTATAAAAATTAAAATTTTGTATTTAAATATTTAAATAATTATTAGATTCTTAATTTATATTACCATAATGTATTTAAAATTATACTTCATTAAAATGATATACATTTATTTATTCTTAATATTAATATTTAATTTATTCTTAATAAAATGTTATTATTATTTATAATACATTTTATTATAATGTAACTTATAAATAATGCCATAAATAAATATCATTATTAATTTCTATTTATTTAATTATTAAAAATGGATTATTATTAAAATCTATATTTACAATAGGAAATCTATAACTATAACTCATTATTAATATTTCATATTATTATTATTATGATATTCTATATATCAATTAAAAAGCTGATAAATTATCATCATTTAATTTTTTATTCTAACTAAATTTATTCATTTTCATAAATTTATAATCAAAATTATCATTTATATTATTTATCTCTTTTATTCTTAACCATCCTGATAATCCAAATTAATCACAATTTCCATTTTCTGATGTAAAATATTTTTAATCAAGCCAATTCAGAATCTCATTTTTAATTTAAACATTTAAATTAGATTAACAATTGCAATTTTTGATATCTTCTAAAGCATCTAATGTTAATTATTTTGAATCATAATCTGAAAAAGAACGAGAAATTTCATTCAAAGGACTAAGGTAAAATTAACCAGGATAGTAAGCAAAAATTTAATTTTAATTAACTTTTTAAAGAAATTGCAATGTTTCTAGATATAAACCTCCTCCAAATGTTAAGATTACATTATTAGTATTATAAGGATATCTAATTTATAATACAATTTGAGTAGATGTTTCTGGTTATTAAAAAAAAAGTAATTCAAAATATGAATATTAAGGCCATGCTACAATTTAAAAATAAAACCACACATTTTCATAGTTAATTTTATCTATAGAAATCTCAAAATTGTGATATTAACCATCATCACTTATAAATTAAACTTACTTTTTAATTGTTTACGAATTATAGTCAAGACAGTCAGAGTATAAAAAAATTACTTCATCTGTTAATGAGTTTGTTGCACTATGTAAATGGTAGCAATTGCTATCAAATATCCCAAATTTTCCAATTTAACTTATCTAACTTAAGGGTAGGTATTTACTCCAAAGACCATAGCTAAAAGAAAAATCATCAATATATTTTTCTAAATCTAATTAAAATTTAACATTTTCTATTTAATTATCCTTATTCATCTCATATAAATAATAATCGCAATTAATAGAATGGAACAAAATCATAAATAAAAAGTTTCCCCTCATATTTAAATTAATTTATATTAAATTATTAATTACATCTAATTAATGTTCTAAATTTTATATTATTTCATATTATTAATAATAAAAGAATTCCTTACTAAGTACTAACGTTATCTCTAATTATATTAATTTTTTTTAAATAATAATTTGTAAACAATTTAATGAAAAATTGTAATTATATAAATCCTATCTGATTCATAATTCAATTATAATATTATTAAGGTTAATAGTATAACTTTGGTAATTCTAGCTCTTTTAAAAATCTATCAATAGCTCTTCATCTATATGTATCTAATAGCTCGACATGGAAATTATATTTTGTCCTTATTAATTTAATTTATTACTTATTGGTTTTTTTGCTTATAAGCTATTAAACTGTTGTTGATATCAGAAAAAGTTTAAATAACTTTGATTTACAAAATCAATTATATAAAATAATCCATCGGTCTTTACATTTAATTATAGAACAATAGTTGTCAATATTGAAGGTTTATTATTATCTATGGAATAAACATTTCTCTAATTGTTTTGTCTAATTTACTAATTGTAAATAATATAAATACGTAAACCTCATTTTATCAATATCTCTTTAATAAGATATTTTAAATAACTTTTTTAGTTAATCAAAATATATTACTTTATTTAATTTCTTATGCGCTCTACATGTTAAACAAAGTGAACCAAAATTCCTTTAATAATTTTTGATTTACAGATATTAAAATAATAGAATATCTAATAAAGTAAGAATATTATTTTTATATTTCTTTTTATAATTAAGTTAATAGAAATTATTTATGTCAAGTAGAGTATTCTTTAAAATCTTAATTCATAAATTACTTTATTATGATAATTTGATTGAGTGAACTAAAATTTTTATGGTTTAAAAGTTGATAAATTTATAAAATTTGAATCCATAAATAAAATGTATAAAATTAAAGAATTTAAATAATGTTTTTTTAGTAATACAAATATTTAGGAATGCATTAATTAATTTACATAAGTCTTAATAATAATTCTAAATTTCTTTAAAATTTAATTTAATTTAAATACTAATTTATTCAAGAATAAATTTTATAATATATTATATGGTTGGAATTTAATAAATATGCAGGGAATATATTTGTTTAAATGTTATATGATAAGAAATTGATTTTATATATAAGACAGAGAATAATTATTAGTAATTGATTAAAAATTAAAATCAAATCAATGAATAGAGTATTTGTGTATAGCATTTAGCATTTGCAACTAGAAGTATTAATTCTACATCACAGTTTGCTTATCTATAATTTAGGATGTCACTTATGTTTTATTGTTAGATTACATGAATATCATCGATTTTTTTATAACCTAATTAATGTTAGGTATATTAATAGATTTTAATACGATCTTGAATAGTGAATAGAGGAAAGTCTTTAAGGATTTTCATTCTTTTATTGAGTTTATGTGCCAATTTAGGAAAATAATCTCTAATTTAAGAAAATCCATTGATATTCCAAGAGAAATCTTCTGTCTATTCCTCGAAGTGAGGTTCAAGAGGTGAATGTTGTAAGGGTATATACTATTCCCCTAATTGAATAGCAATTGTTTGCTCACATTACATAAGACTAAAGAGTGTATAAATAAGTATGAGTTATTATCTATTGAAATAATGAGTAAGATCATCTGGTTTTTACATTTGTTCCAATTTTTAAAGAGATAACTACAATTTCTTGTATTTCTCAGAGGTATCATCATAATCTTTCCATAATCTATTTAAAGTAATGCACTACTTAGTAGCACAAGAACAAACAAAATTTAATGTATTGTAATCTATATACATTTGATTGATGGATTTCTTGAATATAGAGACAGATGCTTTATAATACTTTGCATAGGTAACTAATTTGCATTAGTAGTCTAGGAAGCTTCGATTAAACAACCTATATGAATCAGATATCAATTTTTAAAGGGCTTTGATTGAAACTGGTTATTTGAAATCAATTAATGTATTGTTGGAGTGAAGAGGGTATAGAACTTTGTATAATTTATGAGTTTTGTCTTAATCAATTTGGAATATCTCTTATAGATCCAAATATGGAGCTTCTTCTGAGATTTTCTACATTGTTTATAATACGTAATCCTTTAGCTAAGGACATAAAACTATGAAATTTAAAAATTCCTATTTCAAATCCAAACTAAATTAGAGACGATCATCATAATCCTCTGGCCATATGTATGGTACCATATCTTAAATAGTTTATTCATTAATCATAAAAAATAGATTATAATAAATTATTAAAAATAAAATAGTTATATTGGATATTTTTGAAATGAAAGGATAAATGAATATTGTAAAGGGGTTGAGCATATTAATATTATACTTTATCATAAATACAAATTGAATTATTATATTCAAAAATAATAGAAAGTATATGAATGTTAATTTCAATTATAAATATCATTTCTTGAGTAATTCACAGATTCCATATCAAAATGACACCATCCTCATTTGTAGCTAAGAATTATAAGGGATAACACTTAATATTTATACATGGAGATGAATGAAAATGATTTTCAAGAGTATATATACATTTTCCACTTTTGATATCCCAAATTTTAATTGTGTTATCCCAACTTGCAGTAGCAAGTAATTCTGTATTATTTAATAAGCCTAGTGTCCATATAGGTTATTCATGAGATGAAAATTGTTTAATCAACTTATAATCATTCTCTGTGTTCCATAATTTAATAATTTTATCATAACCAGTAGATATTAGTAATTTACCATCAAAAGAATATTCAACACAATATCCTCCATATTCAGCATCATGAGCCATCCATTATTTTAAGATTTTGCCTTTAAACCATACAATTATAGTCTTATCCTTACCTGTTGATGCAATATGTTTATTATTTATAGTTAAACCATAAACACTATCCCAATGTCCTATATATTCTTTATAATTCTTAATTCCATTTTTTTTAAACTTCCAGACTCTAAGTTTATAATCGTCACTGGCAGTATATAAATATTTTGAGATGAATTATAATCTATTGATTTAGTTTAAATGTTAAGCTTTTAAGATAATAGGACTTTGTTCTAGATCATTACAATTCCAAACATAGACTTCATATGGACATGAACCAGCTGCAGCTAATCTAAGTCCATCTGAAGAGAATTTAACAGCAAAGATTTCTAGGAATTTAGTTTTAAATGTTTTAACAATAATTTCTGAGATTGGATCTATTAAGAGTAAAGTATCAGGATGGCCTCCAACAGCAATTAAAGTACCATCTTATTTGATATCAAGAGAATAAATATGAACAAGTCCAGGACATTTGATTTTCTTAGGATGACTGTTAAATATTTAAAGTGCTTCAGTGGAATTAGTATTAAATGTAATTTAATCAAACAGTACTTTTTGTACTAGATCAAACCTTTTAATTTAAACTAATGATTCATCTGAAAGTGTGATATAATCTTTGAATGTAAAAACAGTAATATCTGAAGTTAAAAAATAAGATTTCAACAACAGCTATTTCACTCCTTTGGTCAAAATTTACATCTAAGTTGTTGATATGATATTCTGATGTTGTAATAATTGTTCAGCAAAATCATTTAGATCATTTGGAGGTTTTAAATGATATTAATGTAATTTCTCCAATTCTTAATCAATGAGAATTTTGAATTGCCCTTGTAATTTTTTAACATGAGATTTGATTGTCTTTATGCTGTGTTAAAGTATTTCATTAAGTTTAATAATATGCATCTTAAATTATGCTAAATGTTCTTGGTGTTGCTGATACGCCAATCGTTCAGCTTCAATCAAATCAATTACGCGATGTCCTTAATGCAACTTATTATAACAATCTGTACACATTGCTCTGAATTATAGAGTGCATTGGCTGTCCACACACAAATACTTTATGTACATATCAAATTCTTGATGCTCTAACAGGTAGCACATTTTGCTCCTGCCTAATTGTTTTAATTGCATTAATTAAAATGAATCTCTCTAAAGAATTCTTTACACAAATTGCACGTATTGAATCTAAGAATTCTATTTCTACTATTGATACCCTTATTGCAATGTATTCCAAATGTGTTGAATATTATGACTAATAATAAGATCCAATCAAATACTATTTTTTGGAAAAAATTCAATACACTTTATCTTAAGATCATACTATTGAACACATAACTAGAAACTCTAATCGAGCATAAACAACTAGAGTTTCTATTTCCAAATTGGATCCAGAATTATTAAATACTTCAATTAGATCTAAATAAACAATCCATAAAATTAATTTTCAATCTCAACTCAATCTAGACACACATAATTAACAATTGAATACACTAGTTGAATCACATCATACTAATACTATTCAAAAAGATGCAATTATTAGAGAGAATATACATTAATAAAATTTATAATTTAGAGAAAGATTAAAGTAGAGACAATCGCAAAGTATTACTCGATCAATGAGTTAGTGTCCCTCTTATGATACAATAATTTATTAAAAATGATTATTTATTGATGATAATTTTTCATCATTTAACTTCATTTTATCTTTTTTCTACTAATCTTTCAACTTCAGATAAGAGGACTAATTCTTATCTTCTAGCAGCTGAAGCATTTTCATATTCACTATTGAAGGTAGTGCACAGAGCAGTAGCATCATCCAATAATCTTTAGTTTCTTTATTTCTTATTACTAGCAGCTTATGAGATGGCAGTTTAAGTGGCAACACATCCATTCAAATCGGTAATTTAATCTTCAAGTCTAGTCTTTGATTTTTCTAATCTAGCAATGTTCTTATCAATTCTTTCCTTTTAGTTGTTATATAAAACAATAGCTTAATTGTTTTCAGCTGTGAATTAATTATAAGAATCTTCAATGTTGTTTCTAAATAAATTTAAATAATTAAATACCTTAAGGTTTATAACAATTAGATCAATCTGTCAACATCAGCTGAACTAACTTATTCAGCCAAAGAAATTCTAGCTAATGAAGCCAAAACTGCAGCATATTATCCTGTTCTCTTCAAACTTACAGAATGTTACATCATTTGACCTGTTGCATCAGCTAATTCAATTAAACTGGCATCTCCAACACTGAATTTCTTAGCCAAATAGACTGATTCATCAATGACTCTCAATGCATCTTAGAAGATAACAGCCATCTTATTAAAGTTTTCTTATTCTGTCTTTCTAACTTCTTATATTAATGACAAGTGTTATTAATTCATGGTAAGTTAGTCTTCTGTCATACCAAATTCAGCCTTAGCCTTTTATCTTTAGAATGAACATAAGTTCAATTAGTTTGTTGAAGCACTCAAGATTTTGCTTGCATCTTGAATTTATCCTCTTCTGAAAGCTGTTTCTGAATCACATTCATTCTTTTATCTGGCATATAAGTCATCATGAGCAATTTATTCAGATGTGACTGAAGTTCTGAAGCCTTACAACATTGTGTTAATTGTGTCGAATGGACCTCCTGAAGCAAGTTGGGCTTCAATTTACATCATAATTTCCATGATGTTTCTGTTAGGGATATGATGTTTGCTGAACATATCACTCTAGAAACCCTAGACAGATACTAAAACAACCAAGAGCACACTCAATGTTGATTTCATTATTTAATTATTTATTTTCTCAAAAAACGAATTCAAGTTTTATATTCAATAATTTGTTTTAATATTAGGTTCTAAATTATTCTTTTATAATTTGTAATTACAAGTTTATTTAATTGTATATTCATATATATCCCATAAATATCAATCCAATTTGATGAAATATGATTAAAATTAAGAACAAATTTTTACGAATTCATTCTTAAAATCCTAAATAAAAACATGTAAAAATACTTACCTTTTACTGTAAGATTAGTTAATTCATATAATTATAATATTTAATTAAGCATTTAGTTTTGATATAAATTAACCCTTCTTAAATTCTGGTTATTTACTCATTCCTCCTAAATGAATTAAGGTAGATAAATAATAATTTATTTACCCAATAATTAAGATATTATAAAATAAATGCTTAAATATCAAAAGCCATAAGCTTGCTCTAAACAATTAATCACCTAAATAATTGAACGATGTGATATTTTTGGTATGCTACCATAATTTAGGATTTTAAAGAGATAAAAGTTCTCGACTCCATTAGGTTAAATTCTTACATTAATAATGTGCTGTGCTTATTTATATTACATAATTTATGAAATATTGAATTTAGCAAATAGATAAAGTCCAAGAGTTGTATTTTCTGAATTCCAACCTTCAAATACGTCAGTATGAATTATTAATATATTAAAGCCGTTGTATTTAACCAAGAATAACTTTACTTTTGCATTAACAATAACAAATCCATAATTAAGTTCATTGCAAACTTTAAACAAATACTTTACATTAAGTGTTCAAAATTGTGTAAGAAATAGATTTTTAAATGAGGATGGTATTGCATAAATTGATTACAAGTAAAAAATTAAATTATATCTTAGCTGTTCTACTATTCCTCTTGAACCTTGTCAAATGGATTAACATTTTTAAGAATAATATTAAAAAGATTATTTTCGTAAATTTAAACTTGAATATATGTATTGTCCTTAGATTAAATAGTGGGACTAATTGGCTATAGTAAATTAATGATAATACATTTAAAGGAACTCTAAGGATTTAGTCAAGAAGATAGATTTCAATTTTTAACAGTAACCTTAAATATCTGCAAAAATTCTACTGATTATTAAGGTTGTGCACCTTTAGAAGAAATCAATAGTAAAATGTAAGCAGGATTTTATGTATGAATTATAATTAAAACTTTTTAGGTATTGTACTTAAGTGATGCATTGATTCAAATGCATTCTCCTTCTAAACCTTATCAAGATGCAATTTCTGTTTAGTATACACAATTTTCATTAACTAATTCAAAATCAATACATTCAACAATCAAAGTTACTGAAACTAAAACAGATTATGGTATTATTAAGACCAATTATGTAATGGATACTGCATTATCATAATCTACTATTAAAGAAGATAGTTCATAATATAATCAATAGTATTTGGTTTAAAATTCTATTTTTCTAGAATAAAGAAGAAATCTATATGAAAGAAATTATCAAAAACTTTATACAGTATTGGGATAAGTTGGAGGTTTATGGTAGATTACTATTCTTTTCTTAAATTGTATATTCTATCCTATATTGTTCTCTTCAATGAATTTAGCTATGGCCAATAAGATTTTTAGATTCGAAAGCTAGGAATCCCTTGATTTTGATTTATTGTCAGTTGCCAAATCAGTTCCAATAGGAAGTCAACTTAATAAAAGTGAAGTTAGAGATATTCAAGATGAAATTCTTAAATCAGATAATAATTAAGTAAGGAATCCATTTGCTGAATTTTCAAAAACTTAAAGAGAAATTAAAAATTTTTTAAGAAAAAAAAAGTCTTCGTTAAATTTTACTTTATTTGATAATATTAAATTCTAATTTGGTTGTAAGAAAGATAAATAAAGATAATTAAAATATGCTATGAATAAAATAATTAATAAGTTAGATATTTGTTAATTGATTACAAAATTCAATGAATTAGATAAATTGAAACATATCTTATTAAACAAAGATCAATTAGCTTTATTTAATTATATTCCAAAACCTATGATACCTTATGATATGTTTGATGAAGGTTTTGAAAAAAAAATAAAAAAATTAGAGTAAAAATAAGAATATAAATTTATTTTGGAAAATGAAAAACCAGATGTACTTAGATTAGATGATGCTTATGAGGCATACTCTAGAGTTATTATTAAATAGGAACTAACTTCAATAGATGAAGCAATTCTATAATTTATGGATGATGATATTAAGAGATTATTTTCTAGAATACACTCTAATTAATTCGAAATGATCTGTCAAAATTTTTAATCGTCATAATTACTTATGAGAAATAATACTGATAGAGTTGAAATCTAAGATGAACCACATATTCAATTAGTATTTGGTAGTATTACAAGCAAATAATATTGAAAATGAATATATTATTATTATGGCAATTCGTTTTAATATACTAATCATAATCAAAATTAAGATCTTCTGTATTGTGAAGTGACTGTTTATGATGTCTATTGAATACCACTTAAACGAGGAGCTTCAGTAGCTCTTAAATTTGTTGGTGTTTAATTAGTTAAATATCTAATACATAAATCTTCAAGATCTTAGTATGTTATCTTACCATCTTAATTTCTATCTAAAACTCTATAAAAATATATCAATTATTATTAACTTGTAAAATGAATCAATATCTCCTCTAGCAGGTGAGAAAATACGATTGAATGATTTATAAACATCTACAATCATTGGAACAACCTCAACATTATCAATTTATCCATTTCTATCTCTATCATAAGTATCAAATAATCTTCTTGCAACAGCCTATATTCAAAATTAATAAATTAACCTTGGCTCCCTCAACATCTGTTAATCCTAAATTTAATGGTTTTTGGTCTTATCCACTAACCACTTAAGTTTTAACAACTGATTCATAAGTATTTGAATATTACATATTTAATATTTTATTTTAAATTATTATTCATTTATATAAATAAGATTATAAATTTAGAAGTAACTCAATTATTATTATGGATTCATTTATTTATTTAATCACATATATATGATACCAAAATATTTGAAATATATATATATATTATAAAATGTTAGGTAAAATTAAAATAATCAAATTAATTATTAATATTTATTATGATTCTCAAAATGAAAATGAGAAGATGGAGATTTTAAAAATTCAAAAGAAAAATCTAAAAAAATATATTATAATATTTTTACATTAACTTGTAAAATTACTTTTATCTATTAGAGTTTAAAAACATTTCTCAAATTAAGTACTTTTAGGTAATTACTTTAAACCATAGATCATCATTGTTGTTGTGTTTTTTTAATTTACAAATATATAAACTTATTGATTCTTATCAATTTATTTAAAAATTTCAAAAATAAAAATAATTAAAGTAGATTTTATTGTTGCAAATCGAATATCTTCACCACAATCAATTTTTATTCTTGTATATGGAGTTTCAAATATTTTAATACATTTAAGTAACAACTTTTTCATTTTTACCAATTATAATTTTTGATTTGATAATTATTTATAATATACTTCAAATAAAGATATTCTAAGATCTCTTAATAAAGGACTAAAGGTGTCTTGTAAATAAAGACCCAGGACTTTATTAATTTGCATTAATTAAGCATTTAATATATTTTTAAAATGTTATAAAGATTAGTGTAATTTTATATTAGTTTAATTTAATAGTGGATCTTCAGAATCGATAATAATAGCATAAATCAATTGTTCAAATCTACAACACAAAATAGAAGTTTATAATTTCTTCATCTAATATTCAACAACCAATTAATGATTAAATAAACAAGATGATTGCTTCCTATTTGCATGTATAACTGTTTTTTTAATTAAATATTCTTCAAGTGTCTATTATTTTACTTTGGATTTAAATAAGAAAGTACTAAGAGGTTTTTCAGAATTAAAGAATTCTTTCTAAGCACTCATAATAGTTTGATACATATTAGTTTCTTTATTAAAAGTAAAAATGAAAAAAGGTTTCTTTAATAATAAAGGAATCAAAATTTCTATAATTATTATTATAATTTAATACCCCAATTATTGTCTTTGAATTACAGATAAAATGATTGTCTATATTGTTTTTCTATTTAATATTAAATTACCATAAAACTCAATGACATAATTATTGAATAAAAATATTATTATACAGTAAGATTGTCTGAGTTTTTAACAACTAAGATTATTCTTACAATTGTTAATACAATATTACTAAAGATGCCTAATTCCAAATTACAAGCAAACATACAAATTGTATGTACTAACATCTGATTAGATCCAAGTAAATAGCCATCATAATAATCGTATTAAGGGTATATTGAAATTTCAAAGGCTAATGAAGCAAAATTAGTCATCATAAGTGCCAAGTTACAGTAATTCATTCTAATTGATTCATTTCTTCTCAAAACTATATATTAAAGCATTATATATATCATGACTGCTCCTTTAATCAATGCATTTTTGTAATCACTGTTTATCAAGTTAGCAATTGAATTTGCAAGTAATAAAATAGTACCACCAAATGTCAAATATGTTAATATTGGATACTATATTACCTTAACTTTATGGATTATATATTATTTTTCTAAATTAGGATCTTTAAATCGTGTGTTATATTTATTCATCTGAATAATTATAATAAACTAATTGATCTTTAAATATAAGATAATTTATAATTAAATGTTATTTTACTTCTTTTCAGATTCATTTATCAATAAATCGCTTATTCTAATTAACTTTAAAATATTGTTATATTAGCTTTTATATTGATTATATATAATATTAGATACTTCTTCAATAATTTAGAGATTTGCTATAAAGCAACTTAAATTATAAAGAATAATATTAATAATTAAAGAAGGAAATTTTAGTGATTAATAATGATAGAAATTACAATAATATTACTATGAATATTTTTGAAATATCAATATATATATATATGTATGGAAGAATTTAGAAATATTTCAATATTTTTGGATTATAATGCAATAAGTATTTTATCTATATTTTAAGTAATAATTATACTCTAATAAAATTTATTGAAACTATTAATTGAATTGTAGAATATTTATAGAAGTTATTAATTTAGATATTTTTAAATGGAAAATCAAATTTATTAATAGTGTTTTTTTTGAGAATCAGAATTGTATAATTGATTAATAACATTATAGAGAATTTTGATTTAATTATAAGATTTAATTTACATTGTTATTCTATATGATTCAGTTAATTTAATATAGAATTACATGAATATCACAAATTTTTTTTAACTTATTTAGACATAGGTTTAGCTGAACTTACTTTCTTCAATAAATTTTAATCATTTATACTAATTAATTGAAAGTTTGTATTCTTCCAATCATAGTAAATATAATCATCGAACTTTGATAATTTAAATATTATTTACATTATCCTCAACTAAATTCATGTTTAGTAGTTTTTATCTTTTATCTACTTTACAGGATTTTGAATATTGTGAAGTTTATTCTTTAAACTCTAATCTAAATTTCAGAATTTATTTATACATTAAAGCACTTCTTCTTATTAAGATGTTACTAATTTTTATGTTGAGTTCATTTTTACTGATTATACAACCTCTTTTAATAATTAAATATTCTAGAAATGTTATGTTTCTCCATTCTAATTTACAATATCACTAGGTTGTAATGAATTATTTACTAAGCTGGAAGTGCAGGAGTAGTAGGTTCTTATCTTTCTTCTAAGAAAATACTTGATTAATTGTTGCTTAAATCTAAGAATAATAATATTGAATTGACTATACTTATAGGATCATCAGGAAGTTTTTCTGTAATCTATGTAATTATTTTCTTCTTTAAACTAGGATGTTTAAGATTTGAACGCTCTAATTTAGATGATTATTCTTTTGCAAAAGTAATATTATTAATTTAAACATCATTTGAATCTTAAATTACTTCTTGTCCATAATTTTCTAGCCTTTATTTACAAACAGTTGCTCCCATTTAATCTTAATTTTAATTATAATTTTTCATTATATACACAAAAAACCTCAATGATTACAAAAATGCCCATAAGAATAGCAAGAACTTTATTCTCTGTCAATTTTCCTGGATCTTAAATAAGTATTCCATAATCAACAATCGAAAAAAGTATAGTAAATATGTTTATATTAAGATTAGTTATTTTAAGTTATAGAGAATGAAATAATGTTTGAAGTAATTCCCATTAACAGCAATCAATAAAATTTAGATTAAACTAAATTAAATGGTTTCAAGATCTAAGATTTTGAAGATCAATAAAGAATAGAATTAAGTAAGAATGTAGAAAATGTTTAAATTTTAATTTGTATCGATTTCTAAAACACAGTCTAATCAAAAGAATAAGAAAATATTGATAGTCAAATAATCCAAATTCAAAAGACTTCAGAAACTTCTTTAACTTCATTTAAAAGTATTCAATAAATACAAGCCTCCTTTAGTGTTTATCTGACTAAAGGGAATGGAATCATTTCATGTTATGAATGTCTAGCATATAATGGAAATGTATAGAATATAATGAATTTAGATTAAAATTGTAATGGTTTAAATTGTAGATGATGTTGAAGAACATAAACTAATTCCTAGAGAAAATAGAGGATTGGAAGATTACAATGGAAATAATCATCATATCGAGGATTCTGTACAATATTGATAATAAAAAAGATATAATATGAAATGTTGAATTACTTAAAGACTTTTGAAATAGATTCAGAACTTGCTTAATTTGTATAGAATATTCAAATATACAAAGAGCATGTTTTAAATGTGAATTATTTGTAAGACAAGCCAATACTTCATGATTGATGTAATTAGTATAATTCTATATAAATTATAATACAATACTTTTCAATATATGAATACATCCATTCAATTTTATATATATATATATAATACTACAACTTTACTATAAAATATATAAAATAATGATTCAATAATTATACTACTGTTTTAATTTACACAATACAATATATTTTATTTATTATCAATAATGTCCGTAGTGGAACTTCCAGATGTAATTACTTCTAATTATTAATAAGATTAGACTTTATTCACATAAATCTCGTACAAGATCTAAAAGAAGCAATCTCGATTAATATCGTAGTTTAGCTGTCAAGAAATCAGTTGACAAAATGATTAAATATAATAGTATGTCTTCTGTTTTAGGATAAGATAATGATTACTATCCTAAATAATTAGAAGACTAAAAAGTATTTAAATACATATATTTTAATAGAAAATTGATGAAGCTTAAGAAGTTCATGCTAATTTGACAGAATTAAAAAAAAGTTGCGATAATATGAAAATGTCTGGTAACAATAAAGACAAAGATATTGATAAAATGAGAAAGGATATTGATCAAATGAATTATTAAATTGAATAATATAATCTAAGATAAAAAGATTTAGAAAAATAAGAAAATGAATACTCATAAAAATTATAAGAATAATAAAAATTATTAAGCCAAAGCAATTATGATAAAAAGATTTTTGAACATATGTTAACAAGAATGAAAAAAGATTAAGTAACTTATTAATTAAGAGCTAATTAATATGAAAGACATCTTAAATAAGCATTATCAACATGTTAATCAACAAGTTTAAAGTAAAATAAAATATAATAATTTAAAGAGCCTAATAAATTTAAGTTTTACATTAAAAAACAATGTTGGCTTTGAAAGAAGTAGCAGATGGAATTAAACAATAAAATAAAAATAGAGAAAAGAATATTAATAGATTTAAAAATGAATTAAAATAGAAATAAGATGTAGAATAAAAAAGAGATGAAAGAATTAAAAGATAATAAGAAATTGCAGAAGTTGCTGCAAATGATATAAGAGATGGTGCATTAAAAAAATGGAGAAAACTATTATTAGTACATAAATTCTTAAATTCTTTTTTAAAAAGTAAAATGTAAATAGGAATAAATTAATATTAAAATTTAGAAGTAGCCTATTAAAAAATCAAAGCATCTACAGGTATTTCAGATGCTAATGAAATTGTTTAAAAATTTATAGGTAGAGAATAAACATATGCTCATTTACTAATATCAATTTCAGATTATGAAAAGAAAATTAATAATTTAAAATAGGAAAATTAAGAATTAAAAAACAATTTTAATCATTTAAAATAAGATTATAGTGATATGGATAAAGAATTCTTGGTTGAAAATCATAAATAAAGAAATGAATAAACAGATTAAGATAAAATGGTCATAGAAGTAGAAGAAAAAGCAACAATATCTGGTCTATTATAAAATAAATTGAATAATTGGATAGTAAAAAATCTCAAAAAATTGGCATAAACTAAAGATAAAGGATTTTAAGGAATTATTGATGCAATTAAGGAAAAATTGTTAAACTTATCTGCAATGGTAATTTTATATTCCTAATTTTAGTAACAATAAGAATTACTAAATAAATCAATTCGTAGTTCTGTCTTAGAATTAAATGATTAAGAATTTTTAAAAAGAAACTTTAGGATCAAACCAAAAAAATAAAATTCTCATCTACATTCAAATAATTCTTAAGATTATTCAATTTTACGAGATGATGATGAACTCTTTAACGAATTGCCTAGCAAAGATGAAGAATAGGAAGATTAAGAAGAAGATCATTTATTGAATCAATTAAGAGAGGAAGTCAAAGGAAAATTATTGAAGAAATGACAATCATGTTGAAATTAATTATTTCATAATTTTACAAATCATAATTTATTTTATTACTTTTTAAATTAAATTTTCATTGTAATATTTATAGGAAATGAGAATATAATAAAGAATAGAATTTTATTAATATAAAGAAGAAAATATTTAATATTATTTTCAATTTCATTTCTATTCATTTTTTATCATCAAAATAAAAACATCTTATTGTACTCTATAAATTCATTAAAATTACTTATATACAATTATTTCATAAAAAATTATATTTTTGATTTGAAAAGGAAAATCCCGATTATCTGGTTTGGGTATAAATATTGGTCGGATTTATTATTCATCTATTAATTTTTGTAAATCAATTTGAGATTGTGTTTTATAGTTCACTTAATGAATAAATTTTATTAAAGAAAAAATTAATAAATAATATTTATATTTTTTAAAAGAATAAAAACATATTAATGTAAATAAAAACAAGGATGGTTTAAAAATTATATCTGAGCCTAAACTCAAGTAAACGTAAATAAATCTAGTTATACTCAAGTGATTTAAGTGAATGCATTTATTGAAGTATTAAAATAATTTTCTGTAAAAGTTTAAATAATCATAAAAGAATAGATACTAATAGTAATTTTATCAATAATTAAATGTTTTAATAAATAATTTTTAACTTATGCATATTGCACCTGTTTCTCTTTTAAATTTTGATTAAACCTAAATTAGAGATCCTATTATTAATTCCCCAAGATCATTAGAAGCTTGTAGAAGATAGGGAATTAGACCTGAACAATTGATAATGAAGAGTATATACGATTTAAAGAGAGAAAACAAAAATTTAAATTTAGATGATGAAGCTTGGAAAATGCTACTTTAACATGAAGAAGATAAGAGATAAGCAAGAGTATAAGTGTTAATGGCTGAGAGAGAGGAAATTATATAAAAATAGAAGGATGATTATAAGTAGAGAAAGTTTGAGAAGGTTGATTTTGAAAAAGAGAAGAAGAGAATGGAGATGATTAAAAAAAGAAGAGAAAAATAAATGCAGAAAATATTAGATGAGGAGCTAAAAACACAAGAAATTTAGAATTAATTACGATAAAAGGAAATGGAATTGAGATAAAGATAAAATGAGTAAAGATAAGAATTAGAATAAAGAAGGAAAGATAAAAAAATTGAAGAAGAATTTAGAAAATAATAAATTGAATATCAGGAACATTTAAGAAAATAAAAGCAATATGCAGAATAAGATAGATTAAAATATGAAACTAATCATAAAATAACACCATAATAGAGAATATAATAAGAAAAGGAACTCAAAAAGTAAAAGAAAAAAAGAGACAAATAATTAAAAAAAGCATAGGAGGAAAGAGAAGAGAAAGAGAGAGTTCGCTAATAAATGTTAGAATAGTTATATGAGGCAAAACTTTAAAAAATGGAATAAAGAGAAGCCAGACGAAAAGTCTTATTAGAAGAAGAAAAAGAACTTAGATAATAATTGATTTAAGAAAAATAAAATGAAGCTAATTATCGAAGAGATGAGAATAAACGAAGGGCTTAGCATTAATAAAATTAAGTATATTTAAATTTTCAATAAAAACAATTAAATGCTGAATAAAAATTGATAGCAAAGTAGAAAGAAATTGAGTTGATGAATAAGGAATAAGAGATGAAAAGAGAATTATAAAAATAAAAACGATAGTAGATACAGCAAAAGAATATAGCTTAATAAGAAAAAAGAAGAGATGATTTGATTTTTAAATTTAAGGAGATTGAGGATAGATTTAAAATTAATGAAATGGATAGAGAATTAACATTACATCAAAAAAGATAACTTTAATAGGAGAGAGAACATTATAGACAATAAGTAAGTACAATTAGAATATTTTTAGTTATTATTAAAAAATGATTAGGAATTATAAAAAAAATGTGAAAAGATCAATATGGAAAGAGAAGCAAAAGAATTATAAGCAGTTAAAGTATTGAAAGAAAGAGATGATATGATTAAAGAAAAACATCTTAAGGAATTACTAAGAAAATAAGAATAAGAAGAAACCTAAGAAAGAATGATGAGAATAAGAGATTATGAAAGAGAGTAATTAAAAAAAGAACTTGAAGATAAATCTAAAAGAAGAGATTAAATAATTAAAGATAAAATAGCTTCAGAGAAACAAAAGTAAGAGTAAAAGAAAGCCCTAATAATGGAAAAAGAATAAATCAAAAAAGATTTAGCAGAATTATTAAAAGAACATCAATAATAAGAGCCTAAACCAATAATCGTAAAACAGAAAAAGAGAGCTGAAAGTGCCCCTTAAAAGAGTAAAGGATTGTAAGAATAATCACAAAAAAGCAAACCTATTGTAATGGCTCCATTTGATATTGTGACTAAAGAGAAATAAATATAAGAAATAAAAATTAAGTAAAATCAAGAATTACTTAATGTAAATTTGAAATTGATTCTAGTTATTATAAGAAGAAGAAAATAAAGAATTAGAGAGACAGAAATTATTAAGATAAGTAGATGATCCGGTTGAAAGAATGAGACTTGAAAAAATATTAGACTTTGAAAGAGCTTTAACTCAAGATAGACTTGCACAATTAGACAATAAACATCAAAAAGAATTAGAAAAAATTGAATGAACTATACTTTAATAACCATTTAAATAAAAGTTTATATTATAATTAAAAAGCATTTATGTTCTTGTTTATTAATTTATATATTTATATATATATAATAATGTAAATGGACATTCCTAGTATATCACGTACAAGTTTGAGTTCAAAAAAGTTAAGTTAAAGATTTAGGATTGATAAATAAGGTCATCCAATATTGAGAGGATTTAAGTTGCATTCAGTTACATTTATTGATGATGTAGTTATTGGAACAACGGTTCATCAGATAATTCTTGTTGACAGTTGGAAACATCATAATTTGAATGATTTTCGAAAAGACTCATCTAAATGTTGTTAAATTAGCTGAATAATGATTATGATTTAACTTTATATATCAAATTACTTTACTTAATTTTTCTATATAATTTATTTGAAATCAATTTGATAATTGGAATGTAAAGAAGGATTTCTAAAATATAAAGAAAATGAAAAATTAAATTACTTGAAATATATACATATGAGATTACAAAATAGAAGATCATAAAATATGATCAAAATATATACTCTCTATTTGTAGCCTTATTATTATCAACAATCCACTTATGTAATAACATTTAATCAATAGATATTCTTTGATCTGGACTTTATTGTAATCCACTTTTTACAAAATCCTTCAAAGCTGGAGAAAAGAAATTAGGAAGATCAAATTTATTCTAAATAATTAAATAACAAAATACTTTTAATATGTTTTCCATGATGACTTCATCATCTCTTGGAAATTCTGAAAATGGAGTATTTCCAGCTACAAGTTCATAAGCTAAAATAGCAATTTACCAAGCATCACATCTTTCATCATAACCTTCATCCTTTATTACTTCTGGTGCAATGTAATCTACTGTTCCACAAAAAGTATTTCTTCTGTCTTCAAATTTAGGTATTTCTCTGACACAACCCAAATCACATAATTTAATGTAATTCTAATATTATTTTATATTCATACAAGTGATAATAAAATATTTTCTGTTTTTAAATCTCTATGCATAAATCCCTATTTATGCATATATTGAATAGCAGATAGAATTTGCATTATTAAATTACTAGCTTCCTTTTCACTAAATCGTTTATTAGGTTATTTATATTGATGTTAAAATAATTCACCATTATTGCAATACTCTAACATCATATAAATATATTATTGATCATAACTCTATCCAAACATTTTGACTATGTTAGGATGAGATAATTTAGATTAAATTACAATTTCTCTAGCTAATTATTCTGACATTTCATGTTCTATAACAGTTTACTTTTTGATAATTTTTAAAGCAAAAACCAGTCCAGTTCTATTGTCAATAGCCATATGAACATCACTAAACTTTCCTCTTCCCAAAAATGAACTTATTTTTAATTTCAATTTATTTTCTATTTAAATATAAAGTGGATTGGTTTATTTTGGTATTGTATTTTAAGTTGTCACTTTTTGAGATTGATGTTCATCTAATAACTTTTTCGCATAATTGTTGTTCATATTAACATAATTTATAGCACTTGCTGTATTTAAAATAGTTGGGTTTTTACCAGCACTTGCTGTAAATTTGAGATTGCCAAATGCATTATTACTCAAACTTTTACATACTTCTATTTTTGGTTGAGCCTTAAATGGAGAATTCAATTTACAAGTAACATTTACTTTCTATAATTTCATTCTTGATGATAAACCAGCAGCTGTAGATGTTGATTCTTTGGTTAAACGTTGATCTGGTTACTTTTTGTTTAGATTCATACTGATGTTGTTTTTTAGCAATACTAAATTTTCTTATAGACTCTTAGATTTGTCAATCAATTTATTCCAATCCTTTTCCATCTGTTCTCTTTGTTTTTTGACATTTGGGGATGGTTAGCGTAATTATTAACACACAGATGGATCCTCTATTGTAATATTTAATTCTTTTGATGTTTTACGAAAGGCTATGTTGCTATGCACTGGTGAATTGAATTTCATTGATGGACCATAAACTATTTGAGAAGCTGGATATTATATCAATTATTTATTTTCAGAAGCATCTCTTGTTTATATAGGCTAGATGATGTTTCGCAATTTTATACTTTGTCTCTTGATGTTTGTTGTTGTGAGAAATACACTGCAGATGTGGCACCAAATTGATTCTGGTACTTAATTTAACTTTGATTTGGTTGAAACATCCTCAAATTTTAATATATAATGATCTTAAGAACACAAAAAATGATTAATAGTTGTTTATGTTTTTTAATTAAATAAAATTTATTTTAATTAATAAAAAAAAAAGGGTTGTCAACACGAGGACTTCCCAAGCGGTCCCCCACCTTAGTACTAACCTCGCCTTAAGCCGCTTAACTTCGGAGTTCGAATGGGATCCGGTTAACACGAGGACTTCCCAAGCGGTCCCCCACCTTAGTACTAACCTCGCCTTAAGCCGCTTAACTTCGGAGTTCGAATGGGATCCGGTGCTTTAGGCTTAGTATGGCCGACAACGATATTTACATATCACTTTCTCTTTTATATCACAGAGTTTTATAAAAGTATTTATAAAATATTATATTAATATGAATTATTAAAAAAAACCAAGATAATTATATTGAAACTTTTCATACATTCTATTAATTTACAAATCTAATTGTTTTTATTAATGTACTTCACTTACAATATGGTCTTGATTTATAAAAATAATACAATATTATTAGTAATTTGTTGACAGTAAATTTGAAGGAAAATTCTGAAAATAAATTATCGATATTCAGAAAATACTGTTTAAATATAATAAATATGACAATAAATTTTTCATTCTTAATAATACAGGTTTAATCTTGAATTAAAGTTCAAAAAAAAGATTTCAAATTTATTTTTCATTTTCAATCTCTATAGTGAGTTTATTAATTAATAAAATTAATCATTAGATAATGACTCATTTAATACCTTTATTGATATTAATTTTTGGTTTATCTTCCTAATTTATAGTGGATTTAAGTTAAGATTATTAAATATATACCTAATAGTTAGACCTTCAATTAGAAGACTTAGACACTAATAAATATTTTACATATGGGTTGTGGAATAAATATTTACCATTAGGATAGATTAGTTAAATTGGAAAAATAGGTATATTTGATAGTAATTGTTATCATTTACATAATGCAGCAGATTCTTTAACTCTGAATGTTGATTTAATTTACTTTGATTGTCTTGATTTTGATTAAATGAAAATAACAAAGGTAATTTAATTTTATGATTATGATGGAACATTTCATAGCTATGATATCACCTTAGACTAATGGGAGTATGAAAGTCATTGGTATTATATTTAGATTGTCTAATGGCCAAAATAAAAAAGGTTTGAATTACTTTTTATACATTACCCAGACGTAATTTTTTCAAAAATTTTATAAATTCATTGTCCATACAGGAGTTTAAATCAGCATTTGACTTTTGGAGGTGGATTGATTCTTCATAATGATGAATTCCTTTAAAATATTTAAGGCAGAAAACAATTATCATTCTTTCCAGGAAAATTGTATTATGATTTTTTAACTTTTAAAATTGGAACTTTTGATAGAAATGGATTATAAATAGCAATATACACTTTTGGAGATCTTTATATTTGCAATTGTTAATCTAATTTAAATGTTTAAATTAAAAATGAGATTCTGAATTGGCTTGATTAAAAATATTTTACATCAGAAAATGGAAATTGTGATTAATTTGGATTATCAGGATGGTTAAGAATAAAAGAGATAAATAATATAAATGATAATTTTGATTATAAATTTATGAAAATGAATAAATTTAGTTAGAATAAAAAATTAAATGATGATAATTTATCAGCTTTTTAATTGATATATAGAATATCATAATAATAATAATATGAAATATTAATAATGAGTTATAGTTATAGATTTCCTATTGTAAATATAGATTTTAATAATAATCCATTTTTAATAATTAAATAAATAGAAATTAATAATGATATTTATTTATGGCATTATTTATAAGTTACATTATAATAAAATGTATTATAAATAATAATAACATTTTATTAAGAATAAA